TGTTTTGGTTGTGTGTGTGTTTGCCTATCCCTTCCCCATTTCACAATGAAAAAGTTTGATCACCCTGGTTTAAGAGCCACTGGCTACAAAGTTGTCAAACTGTTACCTCAAATAACACCACCCAGAAATGAAAGTGTTACAAAGTGGCTCTTATTTGAGGGTTTTTACGGTATTTATGTCTTAGTTTTCTTCTGAGTTTGATTTCATGCTTGTCAGCATGTGTTAACATAAACTGTGTTTTGTTGACTCTCAGGTACGGATGAAGATATCATTACTGCCCAGCTGCCTAACAAACTCGTATGGGTGTTGGTTGCTGGTGTTGCTATTGTCCTTGTGGTTGTTGTACTTGGGGTGATAGTCTCCACTGCCAGAAAGAGAAAAGCCCACGGCACCCTGTGGTATCCAGAGAATTTCAACAAGTTTGTATGTAAACCAGAGAATCCTCGGCGTCGCTCTCGCCGGAAGGAACCAGTTGGAGAAGACTCTGTTGGAATGAGGTCAGTGCTAATTTGTATTTAATAGCAATCACTTTTTCCACATGTGATTCATTATGCTGCAGGTGGTTTTATGAATGGCATCAGCAACTTTTCAGTTTCTTTGACATATGCTGCATGCAATAAAATCAATTGTGTATCCTAAAATCAATTTTAATTAGAAATTTAATTGTTTTACTTCCTTAGACGTATGGCTCATATGCCGAATGGGGCATCTGGTAGCGCCGATCCTAACGAAAACTCAGTCTGGGACGATGAAGGACCTTCTGTTGAACCGCACAGAAAACGAATCAAGGTACATGTATGTACTAGTTAAATTTCTTACATTTTCTTTTCATCAAAACTGCTTAGAAAGTAGACAAAGAGCAAGAAGTTACACGAGACTGTGACATGTTTTATTTGCGCCAATGATAAGAATTACTCATAAACCATATACTATTTATTTACTACAGACTGAACAGCCAAGTCCAAGTACCAGCTCGCACAGTGATCATGAGCGAAGTCTCCCTGCCGATGATGAGATTGATAACAGACTGTGGTCAAAGTCACATTATGATGCTGCGGATGTGCCCATTCCAGCGTCGTTGGCACTCACCCCACCACAAGGGGAAGGAGAAGATGAATCTGATCAACTGGAAGTGGATGTCAAAGGTCCAGGTGAGCGGATAATACGATTATGTAGACACGTGTATCAGATTAGCAATTCACACTCAAGTTCTTAAGTGTGCGCTGAATGTTAGAATGCTTTTCATAAATGAACATGTGCCAAAAATGTTGTAGTGTTAGTGTCTGCAACGAGTATGATTGAAAGCTTGAATAATGATTCCTGTGAAGGGCATAATTTAGAAAACAGTGTTACTGAAATTAGGTAGTGTTGATAATATAAAAACATTATTGCACTGTCTCAAAACATGCAGCATACACACAAATGACATGCTCTTCTGTCCTCCACTGTATAAGAGTCAGATGTCCATTCTTTGCCATTTGTCATCTTCATTCTAATTTTTCAGCTTGGTGCAATATTTTTCTGACAACCATTTCAATGTTTCTTTGTCAGGTGGTTTTACACCTCTGATGTTAGTTTCTTGTCGAACTGGCTATGATGAGAGTGAAATGGAAGATGGGTCCGCGGCGATCATAACTGACCTGCTGGCACAGGGAGCATGTCCATCGGCAACAACTGAACGGACAGGTAAAATTATAAAATAAATTGTTTGGGGTTGTGTTGATACAACTTTATTTGTAAACTTGTGTGCTGAACTGCATTGTGGAAATCTGAATAATATGGTTGACTTTACATTCAATAATTTTTCAGGTGAAACTTCATTACATTTAGCAGCACGTTATGCCCGTGCTGATGCTGCCAAGACCCTACTTGATGCAGGAGCTGATGCCAATGCGCAAGACTATACTGGTAGGACACCATTACACTCTGCAGTGGCTGCAGATGCTCAAGGAGTATTCCAGGTACGTGTTATATTTCATTCCATATTTTGAAGTGTGGTTTTCTCTGCTTTTAAAACTGCTCAGATGTTGTAATTGTGTCTTCATTTCAAATACAGATCCTGTTGAGAAACAGAGCTACTAATCTAGATGCCAAGAATTTTGACGGGACAACACCGATGGTACTTGCATCTCGTTTAGCGGTGGAAAACATGGTTGAAGAGTTAATAAACGCTGGAGCAGATCTGAATTCCGTTGACAGTAGTGGTAAGCATTAATCCCTAGACACCCCCCCCCCCCTCTTACATGTATCATTACTCAACATACAATTTGATTTTACCATGCCAACCCCTTCATACTTATATAATGATTGTTTTTTTACTCAGGTAAATCTGCACTTCATTGGGCTGCCGCTGTCAATAATGTAGAATCAACAACGACTTTGCTTAATCACGGCGCTAATAAAGATATACAAGATGAAAAGGTAAATATTCACTATTCCCGGCTGCATGTTGATTTAATCTACTGGAAGCACATGTGCCTTGTCAAAATAGTTCACAAACCAATTTAAGATTTGTATGAAACTTTCAAACTTTTAAATGTTCTACTATTGATGTTGTGCTTCTCATTGAACAAATACTGTATATAAGGTACAAATTTCTGTCACTTAATGTGTCTATGTTTTTGAGAAAAACTAATTAATAAAATGAAAAAAACAAATATACACAAATATTGTGTTTCGATTACTAATGCCAAAATAAAAAGCGTGAACACATTTTAAGTACAATTTGCTCTTCATTCTGTCACCACTGAATGCGAGTGATATTTAAAAAACAGTATTTTAAATGATTTTAAATTGCACTAGTCAAATCATTGATTTATCAAAAGCAAAGTTGTCAGTGAATTAGTGAGCAAATTTGCTAACTTGCTGTCCAAATACTTCTTGGACTTGCTGAAGATAAAATGCAGTTGATTTTCTGACAGCCACTGTTAAGTTCTACTTTAGCATAACTGTTTATAGTACTTGCCCAAGAAAATATTAAGACCAGTTTATGATCTTTTTTTTTTTTTTTTTTCTTTTTGTAGGAGGAGACGCCACTGTTTCTTTCTGCCAGGGAAGGCAGTTTTGAGACAGCGAAAATTTTACTTGACCATTTCGCAAATCGGGAGATCACCGATCATATGGACAGGTCACCACGGGATATTGCACACGAAAGACTGCATGACGACATTGTGAAATTGCTTGATGAATACAATATTGTACAAAGCCCACCTGTGGCTGTATCTATGTCATCAAACGGACCTATGACAAGTCCGGGTCAACTTTGTGGAAACTTCTTGCCTCATATGACTGGATCTAAACAGTATAAAAGGAAAGGTCACCGATCCAAACATGCACATAATCAAGGGAGCAGCCCTATTGTTCCAAATGGTGCTCACATGAATGAACTAAGTCCAAAAATGATGAACAGTAATAAGGATCATCCACCACCACCACCGAGGAAACCAATGAAAAAGAAGCGGGACTCTATGGAAACATCAGCAGCTCTCTCACCAGTTGACTCGTTGGAGTCCCCACCCAATTACCACGAGACTTCACCGTGTATGCAAAATATGTATGCAAAGTACACTATTGCTTTGTCTCATCCAAGCATTGCTAGCTTGGACACTATTGCACCTATAAATGGACACAATGTGTCCTCAGCTCCTCAGTATTACAAGGAAAATATTACAGCAGCTCCAAGATTATCTCATCCTTCGCCTGATAGCATGTGTCAAGCCAGTCGCAATGGCATTGTACTTAATAGCAGTGGACTTGGACTTGATTTAGGAGTGATTGCACCCGTGTCTGTACCTTCTGATTGGATGTCCTCTGTTCATCGCCGTAATGGGCATGTATCGGTACCCACTCAAAATCGGCAGTCATTGGCACCACATCACAGCTCGCAGCCCAATTTGGACATGAGTACACATCCTCCCTCTTCTACTGCCGCTCCTCATACAAGTTTTGCGACATCCCCGTCACAGATGGCTGCATTCCAGGCACTTGCAGGCAACCAAGCGTCTCAGTTGGCATATGCAGCACAGTCTGAGCAAGATCAACCACCGCCTCAGTATTCAGTTGCTCGACCGACAACTAATGTGACCCAGATATCAAACGGTGCTATTCCAGTGCATATGATTTGTCCACAGAACAATCAACCTCACCACGTCACCACAGACCAGAACAACTCCCATCATTCCCAGACCCAGCTACCTCAGTCCCAGATCCCACAACACGTCGCCATGGCAGCTGAGAAGTACCCTACACCTCCATCTCAGCATAGCCATATGCACCCTTCCAGTTTAGAAAACACTCCAAATCATATCAACAACATTATGCCAGAAAACTATCTGACTCCTTCCCCTGAATCGCCTGGTCAGTGGTCCAGCTCATCTCCACATTCTGCAAACTCAGACTGGTCTGAAGGCGTGTCGAGCCCTCCCCAGTCAAGTCATGCCAATGGTCACCATGCCCCTCCTCCAAAGATCACGACGACAGCAATATACATCTAAGCTGCAGTACTCTTGTACAATAATATCATAACATTTATCATTATTTCAGGAATTAACAAATTAATGCATCTAAATCTGAATGCCACTGTGATTATTCACTCCGTGATCGGAGAGGACAATGCAATTTTGAATTCTGAATCAGTATTTTTTCTCTGAATTTGTTTGCTGTGTTTAACTGGAAAAAATCATATCTATTACATATTTTTGGACCAAAATCTTGCGTTTTATCATGGACCGTACAAGTTGTGAAAAAGGAGCCATATTAGCTTCATCAAACGTGCAAATTTTCCTCAAATTTATTTTGCTCTCTCTTTCAGGACCATTTGTGCTGATTGAAAACTGTCAGCATCATTTTGATATTTTGATAGTAAAACACAGCAATAAAGAAGTGTCCAAAAAGTGACTAGTAATTTTCTTTTACTGCCAGACAAAAATTATTTTTGGAACCAAGTTAGAAGTTTTCTGTAATTCCTTTTCAGTTTCTATTTTTGAGTTTCAAGAAATTGTTAGTTACTGGAAAATAACAGTGATTACATTTAAAACTGTTGCATTTTACCGTTTTGTAGTTACAATGTGTTGATGACTGGATGAGACAGGCAGATGTTAGCCACTTGGATTTCACTTATTAACAAATTAACACTGAGGGAACACTGCTCATACTGTAGTCTGCCACAATAGAGATAATAATATATTTTAAAGTAATATATAATCTTGTGTGGACATTATCTATTTTAACAAAAAGGTGTATGTTTTGATGCCATTGCTCTGTTTAACCATGCACAGTGGTAACTGAGAAGTATCACCACACCTGTGCTCCATTATAATGTGATCCTGCTGGAAACAAGGTTGATTGGATTCAATGGACTGTTCCATTATAAATAGGGGAAATCCAGTCGCATGCATGATTTATATATATGCATGTTTATTATTGAGAACAATATTGTACATAAGATAAGTTCATGTGTATTATTACTTTTATTTTTTTTGTTATTTTTGATAAATATTATATTTCTAGTTAATGTCAAGATTCAACGAGGGAGACCAGTTCTTTCTATATATAACAAAAAAGAAATAACATTATTTATGTATATGTTCTTTTTTCATTGGGGAACAAAGTAATTTTTTTAAAGAGAGAGATGGTTGCATAGGCTTTTACTTAAATAAGTGGCGAGTCCACATCTTAAATTAGGCCAGTCTTGTGTACTAGTGTGTATTTTATTCAGAGACTCATTTTAATATTGTAATTGGATTATGATTTTTGGACATTTTAACAACAACAAAAAATAATTGCCCTTATAAAACAGAGTTGCTATTTTTGATATATTGGAACTTTTATTTTTTGTTTCCCAGCATTATTGTGACACGCATATTATGTATGGTTCGTTTGATGGTTTATTAATTTGTTTGTGCTGCACAAAGTATTAGTTTAGAAGTTAGAAACCAGAGTTATTATTATTAGAACTGCCATTTGTTTTTATTTAAATGAATACATGTAAAAGAATTTTGACATTTAATGGTTCATTGGGTTGTTAATGTCTTTTGCCCGGGGGGGGGGGGGGGGTGTTCAGTACGGATTTTATGTTTTATTAGGCATCAATCTTTTCTTTCCATTGTATTTGAAGAACTCATTGTGAAGTTCAGTTATTGTAAATATTAACCGATTGTTGCTCCTTTTTTTGCTGTCTATTTACTTTTCTCGTCTAACACTCCTGTTACTTCACAATGAGTGGGTTAGTGATTTATTTTTTACAATTTAAAAAAAAAATTATATTTTTAGCGTAACTATGATTGCCAGACACTGCCAGGCATTTAAGTAACCTTTGTTCTGTTCACATGAAAACTAATTGACATTTTTAATTGGGACCACTCATTGCGGGCATTCCAGTAAACATTTGGGCATAGAACTGGCCTCCTTACCTTACTTTTTTTTTTCTCTGAGATTCTTTACGAAAATTTTGAACAAAAAAGTAATTAATGGATACAAATAAAAAAATAAAAAGCTTTGTAGCATTAGGTAAGTGTGTTGATAGACTAGATAGCTTTCAAATTGTGCAAAAAAAAAAAATCATGGTATGAAGAGAAAATTGTATTTTCATTTGTAAATATGCTTTCCCAGTTTACCATTTACTTGCTTTTTTCCCAGTACTCTTTGGGGCAAATTCCCTATTTCTGAGAGTACATTGTGACAGTACAGTATGGGGATGACACTAACATCGATATCTATTGCAGTTTTTGCCAGCCCTCAGATGTTCTCATTATTTTGAGAAAAAAATGTGTTACGTTTTTTATTTATATATATATATAATAATTTTTTGTAGTTAGCAGAATGAACACAATTATCAAACTTTGAAAAACAATTTTTAAGGAAAGAAAATTTAGTTTTTGACTATTTTTCCAATCTTATTTTCATTCTGTGTAGTTAAGATGAAGTTATTTTTTTTCCCTTATATTATCTGTATCTTAAGACGTAATAAAATGTTACATATTCGAAAAGAATATTTTAGTCTGTTTAATATTTATGAACCAGAACCCAAAACTGTGTACATTGAGATGCACCCTGGGAATTCCAGTGTGCATTGTGATGCACCCTGGGAATTCTAGTGTACATTGAGATGCTCCCTGGGAATTCTAGTGTACATTGAGATGCTCCCTGGGAATTCTAGTGTGCATTGTGATGCTCCCTGGGAATTCTAGTGTACATTGAGATGCTCCCTAGGAATTCCAGTGTACATTGAGACTCTCCCTGGGAATTCTAGTGTACATTGAGATGCTCCCTGGGAATTCTAGTGTACATTGAGATGCACCCTGGGAATTCTAGTGTGCATTGAGATGCACCCTGGGAATTCTAGTGTACATTGAGATGCCTGGGAATTCCAGTGTACATTGAGATGCTCCCTGAATTCTAGTGTACATTGAGATGCTCCCTGGGAAATCTAGTGTACATTGAGATGTACCCTGGGAATTCCAGTGTGCATTGTGATGATGCATCACTATATTCAAACTTGTCATCAACTTTGTCAGGCATACGTGTCACCGCTTCCTTCTCGGTGCAGGTCCCTCGCTCGGTGCCCTGTGGAATCGATTGCCGCACCCCGCCGATTTTTCACATTTTTTTCCCCGTCCAGCACGAGTCGGTTTGCATGTAGGATTATACATTTGATGATTGCAATCTTAGTCATGATATTGTAAAGAAAGAAATAATTCAAATATTGCCACCAAACTTTTTTATTCAGTTGAAGCAATTCTCAAATTGTTCCAAAAATTGAAACATCAGTTATTTTCCTATCTACTAGTAATACATCGAATAGTGAGTGGTGATCTCCATGGTAACACAATATTTGAACTCTATGCCTTCTTAGTTCATCATTCGACATTATCTCATTACTATGCATGTATCAATTCTCCAGATGGTAAATAATATAACTTTGATGATGAGTGTGACAGTATTTTATAATGTAAACAAAGTTTAGACTGAACGAGTATATTTACTATTTTATAAGTTCAAATTAGGCACCAATGTTTTTGTAAGATAATTACATCAATCATGGAGTTTTTGTGGACTGCTTTTCACTGATCTTTCAGTCTTAAAACTTGTTTCTAATTAAAGATTAATTATGACATTGCATATTCATATTAAAAAGAAACTTTGATAATTGAAATAAAAATATGTAACAAAGGGCAATGTCACCGGAGGTTAACTTTGATTTTTGACTTCCGGGTGCGAAGATAATGGGAGTCTTTGCAGTTAGTGCGCCTGTATGTGTCTTCTAAAGAACCACTTATTGGATTTCAAAGATACTAATGCGCAGATTTGATTAGTTTTTGATTGAAACTGTGCATATTAATTACCTAATTTACATGAA